CTACGAGTTTGAGTTTTCGCCGTATGGCGGCGAGATGGCAGAGTCCGGCGCAATGCACCGCATGCGAGTACCCACCGCCAGCCTTCCCCATTCTCAGCAATTGCGCGACGCGCTCAAACGACTGTGTAGACGTATGTATGAGGGTGCAGCACAATCTCTCCGCACACAGGGCCGCCTGGAAACGAAATCCAGGTCATTTTCGACTGGATTTCGAGGGCAAAGCCAGGAAATCGGGCGTACCTCCGTCAGCTCGCTTCCGCAGGACGCGTCCTTCCGACGCCGAGTTCTCAGGAACGTTTCGCACCATCCCTGCAATTTGCGCGCAGATTTGACGACATTTAGTTTTCGGCCTTCAGCGCCGTGTCGATCTCGACCGTCTCACACCCGAAAACGAACCTCGCCCGCTGCCCTTCACAATTGCAGGGCCAGCGCAGAGTGGTCGAACGATGTCGCCGTCACACGTACGGAGTCGCATGACATGTTCTGCGCGTGGAGTCGCGTATTTTCCTGGCTTGGTGGAATAGCGGCCCCACAGCGGAGAGATGCGAGCAAGCGAGCACCGATCGAATGGCTATCCACGCGTGCGAGCGCGGCCGCCCCCGTGGGTATGCGACGCCTCCGTCCGAAACGCAGCTGCAGCAAATGGGCGTCAGCGTCGTCCCGCGATGCGGTGTACGGTCGGGACTACTCACGGGTGAGCACGAATGCGGATGATCCCGACGCGCCGTGAGGCGGGCGTGCAGCTCGCGTCGATGTGCGCGCACGCGACCTGCGAAGCGTCCGAGTCAATTCGAGCCTAGATCTACGCTGGCGCTAGGATACTTACTGGTCGCCAACTTGTCCCTGCCGCATGCTTGTATTTATTCTGCACGGCTCGGGTCAGCATCTCCCTCTTCGCCCACCTCCCTCTGCACTCACCTTCGCCGCAACATGTCCTCAATGCCGAACTTCATCATCTTCTACACTCTGCCACGGATGCACGGAGGTGGCTCGAGGTGGACGCGCGAATGTCTCGAGGACGACTTGCGAGGCTATTTTAACGGCGGCGTATGTGAGTACCGCCATCTACCGTTGGAACCGGGGCCAGTATACTCACCTCGTCGTCCAGGCAGCGCATCCAACGGCCGGCAGAAGCGCATGCGGTATGCGCCGCGGTCCTATGCATCCGATATCGTCAACAAGTGCGGCATCAAGATCGCTGGGTGGCCACAGAACATACCGTTCACGGACGTCAGCAACATCGACGGCGGCTCGGCACCGCTGGCTGAGCTTCACCGCATGTGGAACCTGCCTGCCGGAGACCCCGACAGGTTGCGCTTCGAGCCCGCGTCGCACGAGGACCGCGTCAACGCT